TACTCACTTCATTTGTATTTCACTATTTCCCTCACATCCAAAGTCTCATGCATAGCACTAGATAAATGTTCTACCACTGAGCTACATCCCCAGCTCTGTGTGTGTGTGTGTGTGTGTGTGTGTGTGTGTGTGTGTGTGTGTGAGATGCATGTGGCTAACTATGTAGTCCATACTGACCTTTAACTCTCAACCCCCCTGGATCAGCCTCCTGGGTGCCAGATTATATCCACGTGCCACCATACCCCAGCTACTTCCCTGACTCACTTCTACCCAGGGTGGCCTGACCATCACACTCCGAAGAGAGGGCTGCTTCCGGCACTCAGTGCTGAGGTCCTGCCTTCTGCTGTCCCTGGAGGCTCTGTTCCCGTTTTGCCAGCTATTTTGCTTCCTTGGCCATCTGTTCCCTCCCTGTCATCTCCTCTCTGTTTTAACCTTAACCACTACTTCACTGCAGATGGTACCAAACAGCCCGGTTCTTGACATCCTTCATGATGCCTGCTCCCTCTTCAGCTCATCGGCATGAGCTGCTCTGTCCTTTCTCAAGCCCCATCCCAAAGATGTGTCTAGAGCTCTGAGGTGGATTCACTCCACAGGCTCCCCCTACTTAGGTCCCGTCTGTTGGCAACTCTGCTCAGGTTAAGAGGACAAACACCTACCCTTCCCTGACTTTTCCTAATAAGACATCCTCTTGTCAGACTTAGCCAAGAACCTCTTTTGACTCTAAGCATATCTGCTATGGTTCTCTACCTGGTCTCCATAGCAGAGTTGAACCCTCTGAAAGGCTAGAGGCTAGAACGTGGAGCAGAATCAGAAGATCTGGGGCTCTCCTACAGTGAAGGAATAGTATCCATGCTGGGAGTTTGAGTCCTAGACAATTTCCCTATAGAAAACGGACCTAAAGGTCTGTATGAAGGAATTAAGGAATTGACCCCAAGCTGTCACGACAAGACCTGGATCAAACACACCTTGGCCAAGCTCATCACTGTCCTTACCTCTCTTCTTGCTGGGCATCATAGCACTTGCCTTTAACCTAGGTCTCTGAGAGGCGGAAACAAGTAGATCTCTGAGTTCAAGGCCATCTTCATGTACATAGTGAGTTTCAGAATGACTAGGACTACACAGTGAGATCCCGTCTCAAAACAACAACACAAAACAAACAGAAACCCAGTACCTTACTTCTGGCTACAGATGAGGCCATGCCTGACTGACTTTACTTAGTAACCTCCTCTGCCTTTCCTCTCTACCAGAGTGTCCCTTAAATTTCTCCTCTTAGCCTTTCCCTAGGGGTGTAAGGACCAGGAGCTATGGGAAGAGGCACAGTCCCCAAGGGACTGGTGATAAAGGAAACATTTTGGTGAGGTTGGTTCCACCATGCTGAATCCCTGGACTGGGACAGAAAAAGGCTGGAGACGTTGAAATTCCACTTCCATGGCTGGATTTGGACAAAAAAAAAAAAAAAAAAAAAAAAAAAAACAAAAAACAAAAAACAAAAAACAAAAAAACAAAAACAAAAAAACAAAAAAAAAAAAGAAAGAAAGAAAGAAAAAAAGCCAAATACAAATATCTCAGCTCTCTCTAGAGAAGATCTCAGATCTCACATTTCCCCTCCACATCTTTCCCATAGCAGGAAAGAGTGTCTTGGCTATCCATGAAACATTTTCTCTCCTCTTTTCCATTGGAGCAAAGAAGACCCGTGTTGCCACAATTCTGGGTCCTCCTGTTCCCAGAGGGATGCAGGGATGGAGCTAGGAGCTATTCTCACACCAGGAAGGGAATCCACCCGTCACCTGGTAGTGCCATTTCTCCCTCTGCTTCCCTTCTTCCCACAGAAGAGAAGCCCACTCAGCTTCCGGGTCAGCTCATCTAGATATGGACACCAGGAGAACAAAAGCATCTTACTGGGCTGCAGGCCTTAATCTAGAACTTGCTGAATTATTTAAGGATGGCATTAACTTATAAAACGAGTGTGTTTGACTGATTTTGTGGTTGATGTACAGATAAATTCTAATGAAAGACAGCTACACGATTTTAAATTATTAATTAGACTGCCACTTAACAAAGCCTATTTGGCACTCTATTTCCTTGCTTAACAAGACAAAAACTTTAAAGAAAGGGCTCTGTATTAGCCCAGGGGCTCTCGATTTGCATTCTGTTTTTATAGCTCTAAAAATGAAAGCCATAGATCCTGACCTTAAACTCACAACTCTGGAACAGCAAGATCCCCAGCAGGCAGCCCTTTCCTTCCCAGAGAATGCTGGATGGCTCAGGGGCCTTGCTTGCCCTGATACCTCTCATCTCTCTTGACCAGAGGCTTGCTTTTTATATCCCTGGTGCTGTCTGGGTAGACTATGAGCTGGAAATACCAGGAGAGCATATGCTGAAGCCTTCCGATACTAGCACTGCCAGCATTCGATTTCACTGGGGTACTTTGGTTCACATAGAGGTGGTCAGTGAGGTATTAGAGATATCTCCCCCAACCCCAAGAAGGCCTGACAAATAGCTTTACTAGGACATTCAGAGAGATGACTCTCATGGTCTAGGGTCTGCTCTTTCCCTGTCTAGGAAGAACACTTTTTCCTTTCTTCAGACCCTCTTCCAAATCATAAACTATTAAACTCACCCAGGTCCAGGACCCCATGTAGGATTCTGCATCAACTAGGCAACCCCCTTCTCAAATCAACCTGTAAACCTTGCTGTTTGTAGCCTTTGGGAACAATTCTACAAACAGAAAATTCAATGGCCATCTCCCGTGGCATTTACCCCAGGCTTTCAGCACATACCTACAATCAGCACAAGGCATCTGGGCATCCTCCATGTGTGCAGAATAGACAAATCCATGGTATCAGATCCGGGGCCCAAAGAGAAAATTGCCCAGAAAAGGACCAAAACAAAAGTCATTTGTTCACACAGTGTCCCAGGAACAGGCTGCAGGCCACCCACGCCCAATTCAGCCTTGGTGAGGGCTTCTCTGCTCTGTTTCCCTCAAACCAACCCAGGTGTGAACTTCAATTGATGGAATCTCTAGCTAACCTCTTATGTGCACAAAGGGAGAAATAGCCCAAGTGGCAAGCACACGTGACTACCAAGCCTCCAGTGGCCACCTCTGGAGTAGGGAAAGGCGCCTTCTCCCAGAGAGCATCCCCCCAGAATGCACTGGGGCTTATCTAGAACTGGGCTTCTGGCTAGCAAGGATATCAGAGGGATGCTGGAGCCTCCCCAAGTACCTAAATCATATAAATAAAGTGTGTGGGCTGCGTTGTGGCTCATTCTTAACTGAAAAATGCCAAAAGACAAAAGACCAAAAGGGAAATGAGATGTCAGTTCTTCCCCCATTATCTCCATCACAGACCTGCAGCTCAGACATGGCAGCCTTTTAAAAATTGCCTGGGAAGAAGCCTTCCCCGCTAGAGCGAGTCTACATGCTCTATGTCCAGGCTCTTCAGAGTTCACTGTCTTCGGCTCTGTAAAAATCACCTTCCCGTGCAGTCACACTGGCCATCCCTCCAGCAATGCTGAGTGGCTGAATGACTTTCAGTGTCTTTCTGCAGGGAAAGGAACTAGGGTGTCAACGGCAAAGCGATTCCTCTACTGCAGAGACTTGCCCCACAGCACAGCGAAAGACAGCCTGTCTTTCCCCCTCTCGGCACTGTACCGACCCACGTGGAGGGCAAAGTCATACACAAGTTTGTGACTGTTCTTACACGGTGGAGCAACCATGCTGCCACGGTTGCATGAGGCTGGACCACCACTTAGCCTTTCCTGCTCGTACGGAAGGCGTGGCTTCTGCACCCACCTGTCTGACCTGCTTATTTGGCTCTCTCCCATCATCGGGTATCTGCTCCTGTCCGCTCATGATGGGGCTTCGCTTCCCCCACCTTTACCACCTCCCCCTGCCCGTTGTCTCCTTCCCTATCCTGCTGTGAGGTCAGAATCTTGTGCTTACGACACCTCGGTCTGTTGCCATGGAAACAGGGGCGGATTAAGGCTGGAGCGCGGTGCGCAGGGATCAGGCCCCTCCGCTACCTGAGCTCCCTCCTCAGCTGGCTCTCGCAGGGCGGGAGCAGCCAGCGCCAGCAGCAGACACCGTGGCTCAGCAGCCACTGGGCCCAGGCTAAGGACAAGGGGGTCCCAGAGGGGCGCCACCGCCAGCCCACTGGGACCTCGGAGCAAAGTAATACATGCAGAGGCGGGGAGCGGAGGGTGACCGGTCCGCGGGCTCACTTGCGGTCACCTGCCCTTTCAGGACTGGAGGGACAGCACCCAGAACGGCAACCACGTGGGGGCGCGGCAGGACTTCCCCGGCACCCGCGCCAACTTTGCTGCGCTCCTGCTGCCGGGGAGTCTGGGCGAGGTGGTCTCCGAGACAGCGCCCGTCAAGTTGAGCCTGGCTCCAGCAGCGCACACTGCCAGCACGGCCTTCGCTGTCGCGTTCCTCTGATTCAGGCATTAGGAAAGTTTGAGGAACCGGACTTCTGGAGCTTGCCACTCCCCACCCTCGGTCACTGAGTGCTCAGGGCTTGTCCCTGGGGATAAGGCTAGGATGCTAGGAAGATGCCGAGTTAGGACCCACGGTGAGCGCCAGGGTCGCGCGGTAATTGACCGCTGGCTGCACCCGAGTGCCGGTGATGCCTGGTGCTGAAGCAGCAGAAGCAGGGGCGGGTGCCCGCGCAAGGGATGGAGCCTGCAAGTGCAAAACTTTATAATGGCAAAGCAAAGGTCCCAGGAGGCCAGCTCCCATTTTTTTACCAAAGGCTTCTACTCTGTCTATAAGACAGATACCTACGGCCTGGCCACTCGATCCATGAACAAACCCCTTGTCTCGCAACAGGCCAACAACGGGATCAGCTCCATCAGCAGACACACGGCGGGTGCCGGTGACAAAAGCCAGCCAGCTAGCGGGGGGGCTGCTTCCAGGACCCATTTCCCCAGCGCTCGACGGTTCCGGGTACTTGAGGCTCTGCCCGGTTCCATGCAACTCCAACTTGCTCCTGCTCACTCACCTTTGAGAAGCATGTTGGCCGCGGGGCCGCCGCTCCGAGGTCGGCCTAGGCGCGCTCCCTCCTGGGGTCCAGATTCAAATCCCTGGGAGCCAGCTGCAGCTAATCCGAGCGCGTCGAGGCGGGGGCAAGCCGGGAATCCGCTTGTGCCCCGCTACCCGGTCCCGCAGGGGCATGGTGAGCCCAAGCCCGGCGCCCAGGGCACCGGCGCCTGCTAGCAACCGCGGCGCTGCCAACCAACCCGGTGCGCTCTCTCAGCCCCGGGGCGAGTGGCTTGCTTCGCGGAGCAGGCGGCCTGATTGTGCCGCCCCAAACACTTTGCAGGCGGTTTTGAGGGGGACGCCGCCCCCTGGCCGGCCGGCCGATGTCCTCTCTTCCCCGCCCCCTCGGGCAGTGGCTACTGCAAAAGGGCGCTCGCTCGCACAGCCCAGCTTCAGGGAAAGCGCCCGGTGCGCGTTTGCAGGACCGAGCGATCCGCCGAGCGGGGCGCCTCCCTTCCTCCCCCCGGCTTCCCCCACCTCTCTTCCTCCTCCCTCCCTCCCTCGCTCTTCAAGCTCCCTCCCTCCCGCTCCGTTCCCCGCCCCCGCTCACGGAGCGCCTCCCATACAAAATTTATGAAAGTGCTCTCAGCTCGCGGTGCGGAGCGCCGTCCTATTCCCAGGGCAGCGGCTCTCAGCCGTGCGGCGCCGCCTCCCAAGGTGTTTTCGCTGCACCTGCCCCCGGGGACGATCCTCGGTCCGCGTCCATCCAAGTACCTGCCCCAGTTCTTGGCGGGTCGTCGGGCCACTGGAACCGCCCTCCCCGGCCCCGCAGGCTTCTCTGAGCACGCACCCGCAGCCCAGCCCCCGCCTGCTCGCCCTTCGCGGCTGGAGGTCATGGAGAGAAACGGTTACCGCCTGGAGTCCTGATCTTAAGTCCAACACCCTTGCCCCGTCTGCTCCCTGACCGGTGTCCCCCCTCCTGCTAGGCTCGACGGCTCTTCCCTGCATGTCCAAAATAGCTCTAGTGAAATAGCGGTCTCCCCATCCCGAGTCCCAAGACACTGTTCTTTTGGGGGAGATGTGCGGGACAGCTAGTATTCGAGGAGGTCCAGGAGAAAATCCTACAAGGAACTATTGCGAGTTCAGGTGAATTATCTCCGTCTGGAGGGCTGCTGGTCCCTACTGGTCCTACACAGACCCCCGCCCGTGAGAGGGTTCTCCAAACCCGGAGGAAGTACCTCCTGGAAAGCGGGTCCTGCAAGGGCCCTCTGGGCCAAGTGCCGAGAAGGTTCAAGACAGCAGAAATCCTAGGTGGAGGCCGGCACCCCCTACTGGCCTGAGATAAGAAGGACTCCGAAAGAGGAAAAAAAAAAAAAAAAAAAACCAACTGGGCCAGGTCACTCATTGAACACATTAAGAATTATATTTGTTACACTGTGTAAACTCAGCCAGTGAAAAAGAGAGGGTCCTTGTCTTCCTGAAGTTTATATTATAATAGGACCAAATGAGAAAACGTGATCTTTCCCAAGTTCACTGAGATAGTAGGGCCTGGAAGAAAAATAAGCAGGGTGTTGCTCAGGAGCTGACCTGGGGTGGGAGTGGGGGTTGGGGTAGGGATAGAGCTGATTTGACAGCTGCCATCTAAACAGAGATCTAATAGAAGTCCGTCCTCGGTGGAGTAAAGTTGGCGTGATAGGAAGATAAAAAGCAAGGCCATTATCAATTCATGCACTCATACAGGCCCTCAGTACCCCAAAGCCCCCTGGGTTAAACTCAGGACAGAGACCTCTCGACAATTACAAGCATATCACATAGTGATAGAAGAATCCCACAAGCTATGTTCAAATGTAACAAAAGTTACAAGATACAGGAAGGGGCTGGCAAGAAAGCAACATAAGGGGTGAGGGAATCAGAAAAGGTGCCTTTGTAGTCTGGATTCAACAGGCACCCAGAAAGGATGGATTGCCTGGAAGGACAGGATGCCAGGAAGGACAAAATGCACAAATGTTTGAAGATGTGAAGTGACCTTATTTAGAACATTCCTCAGCTTGGTCTTTCTAGGGTTGGGAACACTAAGCCTTTCTCTTTAGTAGTCCCTGCCAGCTACAGGACTCCTCTGACCCTGCACCACATGAGTCCTGCCAGACTAAACTCCAGGACACTGAGAGCTGTGGAGGCAATCCATAAAACTAAAGACAGAGGTTAAACCACTTGCTCAAGAGCACCCAGTAATCCATGATAAAGTGTGGGCCCAAATGAGAGCATGCTATTCCTTTTCCTACCTTCCCCTGCCGCCTCCCCATGACCTCCTTGCCCCACAAACTCCAATATATTGGGTAAAGTTGGGCGGTATGAGTGTGAGAAGTAGTTATTTTGGGGATTCAGGAGGGCTGGATGCTAACTTGGAGTCCAGCCAGGGGATGGGGGTGGCTGTAGGTGGGTGCTGTGGTGTAATGGGGGAGGGGGGCACATTGAGCCTGTCTTCTCATCAGGCAGTAATTACTCAGACTTCTGAGTAACCCAGGAAGGGAGACCCTCCTGGACAGATGGAAGTATCTCAACCTAAGCTGAATGGCAGCTACCATTGTCCTGCACAGCAAGGTCTTAGGACACACTCATATCTGTATTGCCATGCACTTTTCCTCTATCACATGGCTTCCTAATGGGGGCAGGGCTATTAGTGATTGAATCTATTCAGTAATGTTAGGAGACGGCACACCTCTGACCAGGCAAAGGTCCTAGGGGATGAGGCAGCTGCTGGTGAGAGGCCACTGTGCCATTGGTGACAATCTTTCCACCATGGAAATCGAAGCTAGACAGAAAGGTAGCTGTTCACAGGAAGACTAGGTTTTGATCTGTTGAGGGGACTGCACTCTGAAGGGTTGGGGAATGTCCAAAGAAGAAATGGGAAGCCCAGGCTGGACCCTTATCAAGGTGGAAGACTGTTCCATGATGAACACAATTTGAGCTAAGCTGTACCTGTCCTCAAGTGACAGAGACTGAGGGGCACTGGCTCTCTCCATCCCTTCCCTTGGCTGCTCACTCTCAGCCTGCCTAGCCAGCTCTCCTTCGAGCAGCCTCCCAGGCAAGGCTAGTCCCTGGGCTGCTTGTTTTTACATCTCTCTGCACCTTAATTAGGGGTTTCCAAGCAGAGAGGGCCTCCAGGGGAGCCTTAGGCCACAGAGCTGTCTTAAAGGGACAACTGTGCTCACTGGTACCACCATAGAGAGAAGAGGATGGGAGTGGGTGGGTGAGGGTTTCAGAGTCCTGGTGAACCACTGCCCTGTGATGCAGACTACTGAGGACCGGGCCTGCAGGAGCTTTGTTCTTCCAAAGGTCAAGACTGTCTCACTGACTGCTCTTCCTTCTCTTTGGGGTCTCAGGAGTACTGTTCACCGATCAGGAAAAGAGCTATTGTCTGAAGCACAGCCTAGACAGGGCAAAAGCTTGCCAGGACCCAGAAGGTTTAGGGAATTGGAGGCCTCAGGCTGCCCCACCCTTCCAAGAAAGCCTTTTGAGTTTCCATGCTCTCCCTTGAGTACTGGCTTCTCCCATGTCAACCCTCCACACGGTGGGCTCAGAGAAATCCACACCAAGCTTTAGCCTGGGAGCTGGGCTGGTAGGCGCTAAGGGTCCATCCTGTTAGGACAGCAGAGTCCTCTGAAGTAAAGAATGTGTTGTCAGATGACAAGATTACCTTACCAGGAAAGAACTAGGGTGAGAGTGGGGAGCAACAAAAAGGCCTTTAGATAGGCAGAACTTGCTCAGGCACAGTTCATGGGGAGTGACAGCTTTGAACCAGACCAAGAAAGAGCTTGGGGGACAAGGTCGCTCAGAAGGCAAGTGCAGTGGTCTGAGACCACTAGAGGACCAGGAGAGTCATCCTGAGAGTTCAAACCTTTTCGACCAAAGGCACCCCCTTTGTGGAACCGCCCACATCTCCTCTTTAGTCTCCGCCCTGCGGAGTCCCCGCCCTTTGTTGGCCGCTCGGCGGTCGATCGTGCGGCCTGGGTTCTCCGCGTTCTTCTAGCATTGCCTTTTTGGTCCCCACGTGGGCTCCAGGGTGATGGCGGCGCTGGTAGTGTCCGAGACAGCGGAGCCAGGAAGCCGAGTCGGCCCTGGCAGAGGTGGGTGCAGCAATGCTGTGGCCTCCAGACGTCACATCTCGAGTGGGACTCCCAAGACAGGGCGGGAGGTGACTCCTTCTTGAGACCCGAGAGTCTTATGCTGTTAGAAATTCTGGGCTTCTCTCACCAGAGACCCAGGGACCAGTCTTTAGGGACGGGACATGAAGAGCTGTCCCTCCTGGGAGTTTATGATCCTGAGGGCGGAACTACACCCTATCCGGGCTGGCAGAATGACCCCAGAAGAGTGACGGCTAAAACGAACCCAGAGGGAAGGGAACGTGGGGTGTTTTACAAGTGGACTCGGAAGGAATGCTTTTATTTATGCAAAGAGGCGTTTGGTGTCCTTCACCAGGCACCAGCCAGCACCCACTAAATGCCAGCACTGTGCTAGGTGTGGGGACTAGAGCAGTACCCTGGCCTGAGGATCTCTACTCAACTGGGAGGCGGGGATACTGATGCAAACAGAAAAATGACAGCCTTGATGAAGGAGGAGGTGCCTCCTGCTCCTCATGCTATCACATGCCATATCAAAAAGGCTTCAAGAGATTTTGGACCTGTTTAAGAGATTCTGCGGGGAAGCCGGCAAGTATAAGATAGTTTGTCCAAGATCATGAAAACAAGCGACCAAAGGCTCTGACAGAGGCAATATTTAAATGTGATCTCAGGGCCCCAGCCTACCAGGCTATAGAGTTCTTCCGCACACTCCTCCACAGTAGATGAGGATTCCTCCTATCATAGGGGCCCTAGCAGAAGTTCTGGTCCATGACACAGGCTCTGTAGGTAGGGGATGACCTCTCCAAACTGTTTGACTCCTAGTGAGATACTGTGCTGGAGAGAGTAAGAAGTCCAGGATAAGGCCATGCTGACAGGCCTCAGTATTTTTATTTATTTATTTATTTAAATTTTTTAGTTTTTCGAGACAGGGTTTCTTAGTGTAGTTCTGGAACTCACTTTGTAAACCAGGGTGGCCTTGAACTCGCAAAGCTCCACCTGCCTCCTGAGCCCTGAGGTTAAAGGCAGGCGCCACCACTGTCCAAGCCTCAGCATTCTTATTTTTTTTTTTTCTAGTTAAACCAGGAATTGGTTATTTTTTTAAATTTAGTTTTTTTTTTTTTTTTTACACATTCATTATTTTACATCATTTATACTTATTTGACGTGTGTCACAATGCTTGTGGAAGTCGAAGAACAACCTGTGGATTCAGTTTTCTCCCTCCGTGTTGGGTCCAGGGATGGAGCCCAGGTCCTCGGGCTTGGAGGCAGGCACCTTTATCCACTAAGCTATCCTGCTGGCTTCAGCATTTCCTTTTTTGTTATTTGTATACCTTTCTGCCCAGGCTAGAGTGTTACTCCTAAGGTGTAAGCGCAC